CAAGCTCATTAGCATACCTGATAGAGAATTCTGGGAGTTGAAGTCCATCCCTCTTCAGGTAGCCAAGGCTGAGCAGCACCAAGCCAGTTGTTGGCCATCTCGTCTCAATTCCCACCGATTACTCCTGACCACCCTTCTAATCTGCTGCCTGCTTGGATCCAGGATTAATCACCCCAAACCATCTTTTGCCACCCTCCCCTTCGCCCCCCAAGCTTCCTTGGACCCATAGCATCCCTCAGCCTCTGCCCCTTCCGGTCTCTGCAAGCCCATCTCAGGTAACAGATAATCCGAATTGGAAGGGACCTTGTAGGTCATCTAGCCCAACCCACCGCCCAACTTTCTTTTTCAACTGTAGGCAAACGATGTGGAACTCTTCTTAAAGTGGCACTTCCTAACATGGCATTTTAGGGTCAGTTTGATCTCGTAGTTATATACAGATTAACAGAGTTGGAAGGGATCTAGTCCAACCACCCGCCCAAGCGGGAGACCCTACACCATTTCTGACAGGTGGCAGTCCAACCTCTTCTTGAAGGTCTCCAGTGATGGCGCTCCCACAACTTCCAAAAGCAACTTCTGTTCCATGGGTTGGTTGTTCTCACTGTCAGAAAGTTTCTCCTTATTTCCAGGTTGAATTTCCCCTTGATCAGTTTCCATCCATTATTCCTTGTCTGGCCTTCAAGTGCCTTGGAAAATAGCTTGACCCCCTTCCTCCTCTCTGGGGCAGCTCCTCAAATATTGGAAGGCTGCTCTCCTGTCTCCCCTGGTCCTTCTCTTCCCTAGACCAGCCAGGCCCGGTTCCTGCAACCGTCCATCGTATGTTTCAGCCTCCAGTCCCCTCATCATCCTGGTTGCTCTTCTCTGCACTTTTTCTAGAGTCTCAACCTCTTTTTTATAGTGTGGTGACCAAAACTGGACGCAGGACTCCAGGTGTGGCCTTACTAAGGCTTCATAGAGTGGTATTAGTCCCTCCCTTGACCTGGATTGTATCCCTCTGTTAATCCAGTTTAGGATTGGGTTGGCTTTTTTGGCTGCTGCTGCACTCTCAGAGTTGACCTTCCTTTTCAAAGTTGACCATCGTCAACTCATTCCAAAACCTCCACGCCTTTTTTGCACGATTTCAACCCCATGCAGCACCGTTTTCAAAAGCCCACCCTGCACAAATGACACAAAAACCAGCTTGCCAAGTGGCCGGGGGGGGGGGGGGGGAATGGCCGCACCAAGTCTGGGCCAAGGCAGCAGAGACCCCAGCTGTTGAGCACCCCTGGAAAAGCAAGGGACGGGGGTCTTCCCAGCAAGAGACAACCCCCCCCCCCCCCCCCAACAGCAACAAAATGCAAAGTACAAACTTGAAGGATTTTTCTAGCGACTGGAAAGCGGAATGAAATCGAACAACGTTGTAAGCTGCTCAGAGACGCTTGATAAGAGATGGGCGGTATATAAATTTGATAAACAGATATATAAATAGAAGGATAAATAAATAAATATAAGCAAGAATCCGATGGGCGTTTTCCCCATCCTGACTTCTTCAGCCAAATCTCCATGCAACTCAAAAGACGGTTTTTTCAAATCTAGGATTTAAATGTATTTTTATATACAGCACAACATTTAGGTTATTTTTTTAAAAAAACAAAATAGACATTTCAGGATATAAACAATTGTCCGAGGGAAGCTGCCTCTTCAATGCAAGGCCAAAGGCTACCAAGTGGCCACATCAGAGACTGCCCCGTGCTAAAAACTGACTATTTCCCCTTGACCAGTCAATGGTGGGTTTATTCCACAAGCTCTGATGAGCGAAACAGAGTTGGTGCGGTTTGTGTGAAACCCAGTTATGTGCCAGGGCTGGGTGAGGGGTGGGAATCGGTAAGATCCAGGAGGAGGAGGATGGCCAAATTTAATATCAGGGAGTAGAGATGGACCATTAATTTAATACCTGCCAATATTGAGGGGCTGAAATCTTGGTGGCAAGAAGGGAAAATCCCACCTCGGTTGGGTTATGCAAACAACCTCAAGCCCATATAGTTCTCCTTCCCAACCTCATAATCCAGAGACCTGCAAACTTCTTCCGTACTTCCAACCATGTGAGAACTTACCATTCCTACCAGCCTGGCTGTGGACAGAAATATTTCTTTGCTGACCATCACGGAAAGCATTAGATTAGATGGAGAATTCCTGCTCCGTCCCAAAATTATGGGTTTGATCCAGGGGTCCCCAAACTTAGCCACTTTAAGACTTGTGGACTTCAACTCCCAGCACTCCTCAGCCAGCTAGGCCTGCTTTTCTCTCTCTCTTAATCTCCCAAAGTGGAGAGAGATTGCAGAGGAAGGGATTGCAAGAGAGTAAACTCTGCTGGCTGGGGGATTCTGGGAGTTGAAATCCGCCAGTCTTAAAGTGGCCAAGGTTGGAGATCTCTGGTTTAATCCTTCACGCCGGATATGCAGAATGGGGTCTGAATCTTTCAAAGAGAAATGCTTTTTTTTTAAAAAAAAGGGAGGGAGAACCACATAGTATTTCCCCACCCCCTGGGGTTTCCACATCTCTCTTCCGGCGCATGGATTTCGGCCAGCCCGTGTGGTTTGGAGGCAAAGACGTTGGCCCACTGGAAGAGAAAGTGGCTTTGTCTGCACGCACAAGGAGCCACTCTTTTGCGGCGCTGGCCCGTTTCAAACGGTCGACTTTGGAAAGCTGACATGCTGTTTGGGAGACCTAGAGGAAGGAACAGAGATTTTGGAGGGGGGGGGCATTCTGTTTTGGATCCCCCCCAAAGTTGCATCCTGCTTGAAGACGGCCTGAGTGAGTTTTTGGCTGCTTGACAACAATCCTTGCCTCTCTGCTAACTCATTAAATGCAGTGTTTCTTGAGCTTGACCACTTGAAACGGAGTGGACTCCAACTCCCAGAATTCCCCAGCCAGCATCTTTCTGCCTGCCGCATGTTTCCTGCTGGGGAATTCTGGGAGTTGAAGTCCACCTTGCTTCAAGTGGCCAAGCTCAAGAAACACCGATTCAGTGATCGAAGAGACCAACTCCCACTCAGATTTATTATACTAGGGAGGTCTCCAAATTGAGCAACTTTAAGACTTGTGGACTTCAACTCTCAGAATTCCTCAGCCGGCATCTTTCTGCCTACTGCATGTTTCTGGCTGGGGAATTCTGGGAGTTGAAGTCCACAAGTCTAAAGTGACCAAGTTTGGAGACCCCGGTATTAAGAGGTCCTCTCCCCCCAAAAGAATCTTCATTCAACCAAGAACCTTCATCAAAGAAACCATCACTGCTGGTCTTCAAGGTTCAACCTCCACCTTGAAACATCTCCGATGTTCCTTTACATCCCCCCAAAGTTGCCCCTGCACCCCTGGATGAGTGGGGGGGACCCACAATCTGTAGCTCCCATCGGTCCTAGAATGAAGAAAACTGGCCGTTGTTGCGTTAACCCAGCACTGTTGTTGCAAAGGGTTCAAACTAGGCAGATGCAACCTGCAAAGGAAGTCTCTCTCACACACACACACCCCCATCAAAAGGAGTGGAGGAAAGAATGAATGCAGGGCTCTCTCCTGGGGTTCGGGGGACCCTCTACCCATTCTGCATGACTACCTCACCCATTGTGGGTCTTTAGGACAAGAAAGAGGGCAGGTGGGTGGTTGCCAGCCAGAGGTGGTATTTGCTAGTTCTCAGAACTACTCAAAAATTTTTGCTACCGGTTCGTCGGAACCAGTCTGAACCGGCTGAATGCCACCTCTGGTCTTCTTAAACGTGGCTGTTGCAAGTCTTAGTAATTGTGGCCCCGGAGCAGCCAAAAATGTTCCAATAGGTTCCATTTCTTTTTGTTATTTTCCAACCTCCAGAAATGAGTTTGTTGGGAAGGTGTTGAGTGCGAATTCAAGACGAGGCCGGGATTGCTCCAGTCAAGGTCCTCCTTCCAGTTTTTGGGTCCTTCTGCGTCCTGCAGCAGGCCTTCAGAGGACGCTGACCCTCTCGGCCAAGCCTTGCATTTCCATCTCCTGTTCTCCGGCCTCCTCTTCCTCCTCCTCCTCCTCTTCCTCCTGCAGCCGGCGAACGCGCAGGTGCTCGGGGTACTGCAGGCTGTGCTCGGCCGCGAAGTGCTCCCAGCGGGCGTCGTCGCTCTCGTGGGTTATGTAGCGCTCACCCATCCGGGTCTCCAGCTCTCGGAGGTCCAGCCAGGTCTGGTAATCCTAGACGGGGAGGGGGAGAGAGGGGGGGGGGGGGGGCAGAGGGAAACCACAAAGCAGGTTTGTTGCATTTGCAGAGGGTCTTAGGGCCCAGCTGGTAAGCCCAAATCTCACTCCTTTCTGGCACTGATGGTGTTACCTAGTTGGGTCATGAAACGTCAACAAAACAGCCAAGCTCAGAGAGTACCAAGAGCCCCACAGATCTCCTCCTGCTGCCCTTCTCCTTTACTTTGCAAAAACCTCCTTCCTTCTAGCACTGATGGTGTTACCTAGTTGGGTCATGAAACGTCTGCACGAAAACTGTCCGGCTCAGAGAGCACCAAAGACCCCACAGTCCTCCTCCTCTTCTCCCCCCTCCCCTCAAACCTACCAGCCCCACTCCCTTCTAGCACTGATGATGTTACCTACTCTGGTAATGAAACGTCCGCAAGAAAACCAAGCTCGGAGAGGCCCGAGGTCCCCTCGATTGAAGACTTTTACAGTCCAAATGTACAGAGGCCACCATGGCGGGGAAGACTGACCCAGAGTGGTTCCAAGCAACCCACCAACCCCCACCTCTTCAACCTACCTGTAGCCAAGTGTGGCTGAGTGACTTATCCACACTGTAACGTTTCCTCATCTTCACCTGCAGCAGGTTGTTGATCAGGTCGATGGCTAAGAGGAGGTAAGACAGGAGAAACAAGCCTTAAAACGAGGATTGTTTAGGAATGAAATTCACTGTTTCTGTCGCCACCCAACTCAGCCCAAGTGATGCTAGCGGGGGATGGAAGGATGGAAAGAAGGGAGAGAAGAAGGGAGCGGTGGAGGGAGGGAGGGAGGAAGGAAAGGAAGGAAGGAAGAAAAGCAGGACGTCATGAAAGAAAAGAGGAAGGGAAGGAAGGAAGGGAAAGGAAGAGAGAGGAGAGATAACAGGAAGGAATAGAGAGAAGAAAGTCATAGAGAAAAGGAAGGAAAAGTGGAGAGGAAGGAAGGGGGGGAGGGAGGAAGGAAGGAAGGGAGGAAGGAAGGGAGGAAGGGAGGGAGGAAGGAAGAAAAGGAAGGAAGGAAATGAAGGGAAGGGAAGGAAGGAAAGCAAAGGAAGGGAAGGGAAGGAAAGGAAGGAAGAAAGGAAGGAAAGGGAGGGAGGGAGGAAGGGAAGGGAAGGAAGGAAGGAAAGGAAGGGAGGGAGGGAGGGAGGAAGGAAGGAAGGAAAGGAAGGAAGAAGGAAGGGAGGGAAGGAAGGAAGAAAGGAAGATGCTATACTGGCTGGGGAATTCTGGGAGTTGAAGTCCCTCCATCTTAAAGCGACCCAGCTCCCATCCTTTCAAGCCGTGCCCGCTTTCCAAAGGCAATTCACCTCCGACCGAGATCTGTCGCCACGGGTTGTGTGGGTACATGAAGTCGGCGTTCTGGATCTGGTCATTGATGTCCTCGTCCTCGTTGAACGGGAAGGTGCCACTCAGGCTGACGTACATGATGACGCCCACCGACCACATGTCCAGTGAGCGGTTGTAGCCCTGGTTGAGTAGCACCTCCGGGGCCAGGTACGCCGGAGTGCCCACCACCGAACGCCGGAAGGATTTCTCCCCAATGATGCGGGCAAAGCCGAAGTCGCACAGCTTCACCTGCAGAGCCGAGACGGGACGGAGGATTAGCTAACCGGGGTAAGTGGTATGTCAGGACTCCGGCAGTGACCCCCATTTAAATCCTGAGTCTGGAGCGGAACTTCCAAAACTTCAAAAGGATTTATTGGAAGCTAAAATGCCAGCACTGCCTGGGTGTAGCCAACTCTGAGATGCATCATTCATTGTCACCCTTTGTCATGTTGCTCGGCAAATGATTCATAGTTACGACAGTCGCAGCATCCCCCAGACTTTCCGAAAATACCAGAAGTGACGAAACGGGCCCATTCTTCGGCCTCCAAAGGCTGCAGAGGCTTCCCTCGAGCCTCTGGAAGGCCGAAAAAGACCCCAAAATCAGCAGGAGGCACACACATGCGCAGTGCAGGTAACGGGGTGGGGCGGGGGACCCGTGTGCATTGCCTTCTGGGTGCTGTCACGTGAGTACACGCCCACAATTTTCAGCACCGGAGCCCATAAAGGTTAGCCATCACTGCCCTAGGGAATACGACGACGGTCGTAACTGTGAGGAGAGATGTTGGGCTCCATTGTGGTCATAAGTCAAGGACTGCCCTGTAACTCAGGTAACTTGAACTTTCCCACAGGGGCCTCGTCTTTCACCCCGGACACGAAACACAATGTGTGGCCCTGAGATTTTTGTGGACTAAATTCAGCAGTTCCTCTCAATTTCGACTGCATTCCCACGCCCCCTTTCTCTCTCTCTCTCTCTCCTCGCTTCCTTTCCATTCCTGAGGCAAAACCCACCTTGTTCTCCTCAGCCAACGGCAAGCACAAGAACACGTGTGGAAGAAAAACATGGTTACTTTTTTTTTTTAAGTCAAGCGCCACGCATTCATCGTTACACGTAATTCAGCCTTTCAACCACGCTGCGCTCGGGAATAACGGCCAGCCCTGAAGGGAATAATTCTCAAGGGGGGGAAGAATTCATGGCTGACTTGAATTCTTGGAAGAATTGGGGTCAACTATCCCCCCACAAACAGTGGGACGCAGTGGCTCAGAGGCTAAGATGCTGAGCTTGCCGATCAGAAAAGGTTGGCAGTTTGGCGGTTCGAATCCCTAGCGCCGCAGAACGGAGTGAGCTCCCGTGACTTGTCCCAGCTTCTGACAACCTAGCAATTCAAAAGCACGGGGAAAAAAAAATGCAAGTAGAAAAATAGGGGCCCCACTGGCGGCATATAAAGAGAATGCTTATAAAATGTTTTACGAGATTAGCTGTATTAGATGGATCCCAATATGAATCCGGCATGTTGGAAGTGCACAAAGAAAAAAGGTACATTCTATCACACGTGGTGGTCCTGCCCATGGACCCAAAAATACTGGTTAAAAATTAAACAGTGGTTGCAAGGGATTGTTAATGAACCAATAGAATTAGAACCGGAATTATTTTTATTGGGGAATATTCAAAAAGAAATATGGGAGAAATATAAAATATATAGTACTACATATTCTAACTGCAGCCAGAATTGCTTACGCCCAGTGCTGGAAACATACATGAATACCACCAGATAAATTGATTATTCAAAAAATAATGACTTGTGCTTGAGATGGATAAATTGACACTCATGTTAAAAGAGAAAGAGGAGACTGAGTCTTATAAGACTTGGGAAAAATGGTATGATTGGATTGAGCAAAGATAGATAAATGGACGATGAAAAAATTAATGATAAGCAACATATAAACTGATGTTTATATTTGCATAAATGGTATATATTTGTAAATAATCCACAAAATCGTAGTCTAAGACGAATGCCACAAACTGTTGGACGTTAAGGTATTTGTACTCCTTGTTTTTTTTAAGTCATAAAAGACTAATCAAGTTTATTTTAAAAAAAGAAAAGAAAAATAGGGACGACTTTGGTGGGAAGGGAACAACGTTCTGTGCGCCTTCAAAGGCATTTAGTCATGCCGGCCACATGACCACGGAGACGTCTTCGGACAGCGCTGGCTCTTCTTCGGCTTTGTGACGGAGATGAGCACCGCCCCCACAGAGCCGGAAACGACTAGCGTGGATGTGCAAGGAAGGGAAACCTTTATCTTATCCCACAAACGCCATTTTGCATTTTGGGGTGACAGGGACGCTAGCGTGCAACAGGGAAGCTCCGAGGTTTGTCCAGAGGCGCCCAGGACACGCCTTAGTGGAAAGAAACGGTTTACCTGCGGAAAGGGCTCGGCGGACGCCAGGAGGACATTTTCAGGCTTCAGGTCGCAGTGGACGATGTTCTTGAAATGCAGATGTCGGAGGGCAACCAGGACCTGAGGGGACAGGAAATGTCCAGAAGAAACAACTTGGCCATCAAGTAACTTCTAGTGTCAACAGAGGAGGAGGAGGAGGAGGAGGAGGAGGAGGAGGAGGAGGGGAAGGGGAAGAGGAAGAAGAAGAAGAGGAAGAAGAAGAAGAAGAAGAAGAAGAAGAGGAAGAAGAAGAAGAAGAAGAAGAAGAAGAAGAAGAAGAAGAAGAAGA